GACCTGTCCATCCTCCCTGGACTGACCTATCCCCTCCCTAACTCCCCACCTACACTCACCTTTACTGGCTCCATCCCCGCCTCTTTGACCTGTCTGTTTCATCTCCACCTATCCTCTCCTCTATCCATCTTCTATCCGCCTCCCCCTCTCTCCCTATTTATTTCAGAACCCCCTTCCCCTCCCCCATTTCTGATGAAGGGTCTAGGCCCGAAACGTCAGCCTTTCTGCTCCTATGATGCTGCTTGGCCTGCTGTGTTCATCCAGCTCTGCACCTTGTTGTTGTGGAAACATCCTCTCTACTTCTATCTTATCTATTCCCTTCATAATTTTATATGTTTCTGTAAGATCCCTCCTCAATCTTCTGAATCTTATGGTGGGGTCGGATTGCAGATGGCAGAAGTGTCGGAGGATGATGCGTTGGATCCGGAGGTTGGTGGGGTGGTACGTGAGGATGAGGGGGATTCTGTTTTGGTTGTTGTTGCGGGGAGGGGGTGTGAGGGATGAGTTGTGGGAAATGCGGGAGACACGGTCGAGGGCGTTCTCAACCACTGAGTGGGGGAAGTTGCGGTCCTTGAAAAATGACATCTGAGATGTTCGGGAGTGGAATGCCTCATCCTGGGAGCAGATGTGGCAGAGGCAAAGGAATTGGGAATAGGGGATGGCATTTTTGCAGGAAGGTGGGTGGGAGGAGATGTATTCTAGAATCCCCCTCGTCCTCACGTAACAGTGTAACATCTGTGGGACAGCACATTTACTGTGGGCAAACCCTTCAGAACATAATTACTATTGAGAGCTATCTGTATACATTTTTAAAAATTATGTTCAGCAACTTTCTACATTTTGCTGTGGTTTTCGATGGTAATCAGTAACTGCATGGAGAATACCTTATTGTTAATAGTCATTGCATTTAGCTAAAGTCACTGACCAGTGTGCTTTAAAGCTGACATTTAACTAGTAAGGAAGTATTTGGTTCCATAACACTGAGACAATGTTATTTATAAAGAAAGAGAGTTGTGGGAATGTGGTACATATATTACTTTTTTATGTCTTGTATTGTTGTGAAGAATCTTTTGTTGCTGGTTCTTGACTCCCATGATTTTAAGATTTCCTGCGTTGATCATATCTTACTGAGTGCAACATCATAGAAGATCAATTAGTCATCTTAGAATCCTGTTCCAATGTCATAATAACTCAAGTGCCCTATCAACATAAACTAGCCATGAAAAACATCAACATATGCAATGACAGGAAAGGAATCTGAATCAACTGAGTAAAATTATTCAATCATGCCAAAATAATGTACAAATGACTTCAAAGTTGTAATGACTTCCAGCTATTTATTACTGCATATCATATTAGAGATGGGGATATTTGTTATGAATTAATATGCATGACCAATTAGGTTACTACTTTGGAAAATTTTATTTCACAAAACAACTAGTGATCGTGGGGCATAGAGAGCTGCATTGTAATCCATTTAATCCATTATGGAGCACAGAAAGGATATATGAATCTCTCCTCTCATATCCACCTATTGCCAATTTGCTGTATGTTAACGTATAAGCAATTGGCATCCTTCACTGCTTTGGCTACATCAAAGTATTTGTGAATATTGCAGATTATACAATATTGAGTAGAAAGAATGCTTCATAGATAAGCCAGACATTTTCTTCATAAGCCAGACATTTTCTTCATCTCACATGCTTTTCCAGAGTGGTTGACCAAACAAGGAATGGGTGTTTTAGATGCTAGTCGATTTTCTCTGCCCTAATCAAGTGCATCAAATTTCTGTATAACACACCTATTTGTCTTCTTATTGGATTCTCAGAGCATAACTTGTGATTTGAAACTTGGGCTTTTTATGCTTCTATATTGGCTGAGTTACTAATTGAGTAAATTCAAAGCTTTTGGGGAATAGAGGGAATGAATTGACATTACATGATTTAGATACTTCATGGATAATTTTGTGACACTGGCAAGCCTTTCCTGCAAAAATTGCCCAGATTTTTGATTAGTTCTAAGTCAAAAGGTTACTCCTGTGGCTCTTCTAACCAGTTGACAGTTTGAATAAAAGGAAGAATATGAATAAAGCATATAAGATCCTAAGGAGACTTGATAGTCGATATGGGTCACCTCAAATTTAATAGAAACAAGCTAAAGCTTGTCCAAGATGTGTGTTAGACTTGCAGTCTGGCATTGCAAGGGCAATGGAGAGGTCAGAATGTTTGCAGAGAGTTCAAGCAGGATAAAGAGGAATAGTGTGCCATGGTCACAATTGCAGGTGTTATTTCTGGCTTTTATTAGGGCATTTGGTTGATGTGGCAGGATAGAAAACCTAATTAGGGAGATTGAAAAACAGGTGTGAAAAAGGTGTTCAAAAAAAATTTGAAACGGAAGGAGATTGCAGGTGGGCCAGATTTTACAAAAGAGATGATCAAAACTTCATTAAACCTTTGCTTATTTGTATTCTTTATTTTTTTTTATCTTTCAGGCTTCCGGAAAATTAGCTTGGATGATTTGCGTAAAGCCTACATTGTGAAGGACGTACAGCAGTATATCCTGTATCGTCTGGACCAGGAAGAAGCATTAAGACAACACCTGACTAAAGAAACAGCTGAAATGTTAAACCAGCTCCATATTAAAAGCAGTGGCTGTTTTCTTTATCTTGAATGTGTCCTTGATGGAGTGGTGGAAAGCTTTATTATGCTGCGAGAGATTAGGGATATTCCAGGAACATTGAATGGACTATATCTTTGGCTTTGTCAAAGGCTTTTTGTGCGAAAACAGTTTGCCAAAGTGCAACCTATTCTAAATGTAATTTTGGCTGCGTGTAGGCCATTAACTACTTTGGAATTATATCATGCAGTGTGGACAAAAAACATAACCATGACAATTGAAGAATTTCAACGGAAATTAGATATTTTATCAAAGGTTCTCATAGATGGCTTGGGGAGCACTAAAATTCTGTTTCATTACAGTTTTGCAGAGTGGTTGCTTGATGTGAAGCACTGCACACAGAAATACTTATGTAATGCAGCAGAGGGTCACAGAATGCTTGCCATGAGTTACACATGCCGTGCAAAAGAACTCTCCCCTTTGGAGGTACAAGAGTTTGCACTACACCTGCTTAATTCTAACTTGCAGCTAGAACCACATCACTTAGCCTTGTGGATGATCTGGAATGGCACACCTGTGAAAGGAGCTTTGTCGACAATAGTTCCTAAAGAGCAGGAAATACTACAGCTTTTAGTAAAAGCAGGAGCTCATGTGAACAGCGACGATGACCGCACATCATGTATTGTACGTCAGGCTCTAGAGAGAGAAGACTCTATTCGAACTTTGCTAGATAATGGTGCTTCTGTTAATCAGAGTGACTCAAATGGAAGAACATTATTAGGTAGCGCAGCCTACAGTGGCAATTTGGATGTTGTTAACCTCCTGATATCTAGAGATGCTGATCTGGAAATTGAAGATAATCATGGACAGACAGCGCTTACGCTTGCTGCTAGACAAGGTCATACAAAGGTTATTAATTGCCTCATTGGACACGGTGTTAACATAAATCACACTGATCAAGACGGCTGGACCGCATTAAGGTCAGCAGCTTGGGGAGGACATACGGAGGTGGTATCAGCACTTCTCTATGCTGGAGCTAAGGTAGATTGTGCTGATGCAGACAGTCGAACTGCTCTCAGGGCTGCAGCATGGGGAGGACATGAGGATATTGTTCTCAATTTACTTCAGCATGGAGCTGAGGTTAACAAAGCAGATAATGAAGGAAGGACTGCACTTATTGCAGCAGCATACATGGGACATAGAGAGATAGTAGAACACCTGGTGGATCACGGTGCAGAGATCAATCATGAAGATGTGGATGGCAGAACAGCTCTATCAGTAGCAGCGCTGTGTGTCCCTGCAAGCAAAGGTCATGCATCAGTGGTTAGCTTACTGATTGACAGAGGAGCAGAAGTTGACCACTGTGACAAAGATGGTATGACTCCATTGTTAGTAGCAGCCTATGAAGGCCATGTGGATGTTGTTGATTTGCTTCTTGAAGGAGGGGCAGATGTGGATCACACTGATAACAATGGTCGTACTCCTCTTCTGGCTGCTGCATCCATGGGTCATGCATCTGTTGTAAATACCTTATTGTTTTGGGGTGCAGCTGTAGATACTATTGATAGTGAAGGAAGAACAGTACTAAGTATAGCCTCAGCACAAGGAAATGTAGAAGTGGTGCGGACTCTGCTGGACAGAGGACTAGATGAGAATCATAGGGATGATGCTGGTTGGACTCCATTACATATGGCTGCATTTGAGGGTCACCGACAAGTATGCGAAGCACTTATTGAACAAGGTGCTAGGACTAATGAGGTGGACAATGATGGTCGTATCCCTTTAATACTGGCAGGACAGGAGGGCCACTATGACTGTGTACAGGTTATGCTTGAAAACAAATCCAATGTGGATCAGAGGGGTTACGATGGTAGAAATGCATTACGTGTTGCATCATTAGAAAGTCATCGTGACATAGTTGAACTGCTCTTGAGCCATGGAGCCGATGTGAATTACAAGGATGCTGACAGCCGCCCAACATTGTACATTTTGGCACTTGAAAATCAACTAGCAATGGCTGAGTATTTGCTAGAAAATGGAGCAAATGTGGAGAGCACAGATGCAGAGGGGAGAACTGCTCTTCATGTCTCCTGTTGGCAAGGGCACTTGGAAATGGCCCAAACTTTGATAAATTACCATGCTGATGTCAATTCTACTGATAATGAGAAACGATCAGCTCTGCAATCTTCTGCATGGCAAGGGCACGTGAAGGTTGTGCAGTTACTAATTGACCATGGAGCATTGGTAGATCACACATGCAACCAGGGTGCTACTGCTCTTTGTATTGCAGCCCAGGAAGGACACGTAGATGTTGTTCAGACATTGTTGGAACACTCAGCGGATCCAAACCATGCAGATCAATTTGGACGGACTGCAATGAGAGTTGCAGCAAAAGGTGGCCATACACAGATTATAAAATTATTGGAGAAGTATGGGGCATCGAGTCTAAATGGATGTAGCCCTTCTCCAGTTCACACAATGGAGCAGGCAGCCCCTCAGTCTGTCACTATGAAAATGCACTCTTTAACAATTAAATCAAATAGCTCTGGCAGCACTGGTGGAGGAGATCTGCAGTCTGCTATGCGTGGTTTTTCTAATGGTCCTCAACACCCTTTCAGTTCACCCTCTGAATCTCCAGATTCAACTGTTGATCGACAGAAGTCCTCACTGTCTAATAATTCACTCAAGAGTTCCAAAAACTCATCTTTACGTACAACATCATCCACAGCAACTGCACAGACTGTACCCATGGACAGTTTCCATGGCATGTCATTCACGGAGCAGATACAGCAGCATTCATTACCACGCAGTCGAAGCAGGCAGTCTATTGTAAGTCCCTCATCTACTACACGATCCATAGGACAGCATGCTAGTTCTCCAACTAGTGAATATGAGTGGGGACAAATGAAACCCAATGTGAGATCTTCTAAAAGTGTTAAAACTGGACACATTGAACCTAGCGAAGGTTCCACCAAAATTGGTTCATCTGGGAAGAGATCAGCCCAAAACAAGCAAAACAACTGCCCTCAGCCAAAGGTTTTGGAATATGAAATGACACAACTAGACAAACGAACAGCCATAAATAAAATAGTACAGAATAATGCAGTGCCATTAAAACAAGCACCACTTGAGTCACAATGTAAGATACTGATTCCACACAGTCCACAGGAAACTTCAAGGGCTCAACAACAGTTCTTAATACAGCAGCATGGGGAACAAAAGAAAAGAAATGGAATAATGACAAATCCAAATTATTTACAAGGGAATCCTGTTCTCCTGGGCAGGGTTGCAGTTCCAAAGAATGAACAGGAGAAAGGACATACTGAATGTTTGGAAGGTTATCCATTAGCAGAGACTGAACTAAGTCTGAAGCAAGCCCTAAAATTACAGATTGAGGGGACAGACCCTAGTTTTAATTACAAGAAGGAAACACCATTGTAGCAGGTACTGTCAAGCTAATTTGTATGTAAATCTAATAGATGCAAGTATTTAAGCTGTGAGAGTTTCAAGGCATAGCATGTTTTAACTTTCTTATGGTAAAGTTCCTTTTTTTAAGTGTAATTTGATCTACTTCATGAGCCAACATGTCTATAATAACAGTAGTGAGCAGTATCTGGATCAAGATCACTTTTGTTTTTATATAACTATTTATGATAGAGGAATACCTCAATCTGAAGGGTGTCACATGTGCAGAAGCATTCCAAAACAAGGGATAGACTTTTAGCTTAACTGCCTAACGGTCTGGTGAAGTATGTCACTGTCCTGATGTAACCTGACCTATTTTAAATTCCTCAGTGGAAAAGTAATCATCTCTGGCAGATTACCACCCAGATCATGAAGACAAAATCCTTTCCCTTAAGAGCCCTACAATGTCATTTGTCCCTATAGTGTGGAAACAGGCCATTCGGCCCAACAAGTCCACACCACCCCTCCAAAGAGCATCCTACCAAGACCCAAACCCCTACCCCCTGTATTTCCCATCATCCTTGGACACTATGGGCAATTTAGCATGGTCAATTGACCTACCCTGCACATCTTTGGACTGTGGAAGGAAACCAGAGCACCTGGTGGAAACTCGAGCAGACACGGAGAATGTGCAAACTCCACACAGACAGTCGCCCAAGGTTGGAATCAAACCTGGGTCCCTGGCGCTATGAGGCAGCAGTGCCAACCACTCAGCCACTGTACCGCCCTCTTAGTTTGGAGATCCAAACATCAAATCCTAGCCTCTGCTGGCATTCCTAGTTGAATATCCCCCAAGAAGCAAGTATGTCTCACCTGTGGGAGAGATGAGAAACTGGCGCTGGACCTTTCTGTAGCTGATCTATTAAGATATTTATAAGTACCACAAAAAAGTTTAAATTCATGCAATCATGCATTGGGTTCACAATTTAAAACTTTTAAGAAAAATAAGCATTTTTCTCTGAAATCGTTACACTGTGGTTGAGTATGTGGATTCAACACAGGTAGATTTATTCATCAAATGAAATAGCTAAAAAGAGCACTTGGCGGGTGCCCCAATTTATGGTTATAATAGATAATTCAATTTCTGTGCCAAAATTGACAATAAACCTGCCATAATGGAACCACCAAGAATGAACTGGCAGTTCTGAAATGCTTGGTCTTAAAATTTCCAGATACGTTTCAGAACTAAATTATTCCATGCAGCAAGAGAAGAATTTAAGCTCATGATGGATATTTGCGATTGCGTAGAAAAATAGTTCATATTTTCTTGTAAAATAATTTATAGTAGAGATTTTAAAGTGACCCCTCACCATGTTCACAGAAAGACAGTGTACAGAGAGAGACCTCTAACTATTCAATGAACTTCACCAATGATCCAAACTGTAAATGTCATTGGGCTTCATTCAAATAATATCAGTGAATTTTGGAGTCACTGTAAGGGTATATCTCCTCTTTCCACCACAAAACTGAACATGCAGAATGGTATTAAAGGGAAGGGTCAGGAATTGGCAATGGCAGAGCTCAAGGCAGGAAGACTTGTCGGGCAAACAGGAATTTTGCTGTCCTTGAATCTGCAAGTATTTTTCAGAAAAATTTACTGTGTATTTTTAAAAGAACTTTATACTGTTTTAGCTACTTTATGTTCTGCCACTTAGGGCATGACTTAACGCATGCTGCATCATTGACAGGTATTCTAGGTCCTACGTCTTTGGTAGAAACGCTGGACTCCAATTTCTAGAACCTTCCAGAATTTCACATGAAATGCAAAATCGGGGGATACACTGTTTTATTCCTGGCGAGGATTTGAAACAGTTAGCCTCAAATATCAATTATTGCCTGAATATCATTGAATCGAATTGAATTAGTTCTATTGCTACATGTTCTCACGTCAGTACAGTGAAAAGTTTACTAGTCGCCATTTACGATGCTAACTTAGGTACAAAGGTCCCTAGGTACAGATTCTTGAGTACAAATTCTTAGGAAAAAGAAATTTGAAAAATAAAGAAATAAAAAGTCCAGCATTACAGACCTTCAAAGGTACAAAATCATAGTAACAAATTAGAAAAATAGAGTTCAGAATAACAATCCTTCCTCAATAATATAATAATAAAAAGTTAAAATAATTATAAAGAAGAGAATTTAAGACAAAGTCCACTTAGTCCCTTTCATGGCCCTGGGCTGCCCCCCCCCCCCCCCCCCATCAGTTGGTATCCCTGGCCAGACCTACCATAGTGAAGAAACCGTTCTAATCATTCATTTTATCTAGAGCTGCTTATCTTTTTGTAAAGATAGACGAAGGCAGAATGATGGATATTGTCTACATGGACTTTAGCTAGGCGTTGCACAAGGTTCCACATGGTAGATTGGTTAGTAACGTTAGATCACATGGGATCCAGAGAGACCTAGCCAATTGAATACAAAATTGGCTTGACGGTAGAAGACAGATGGCAGTGGTAAAGGATTGTTGTTCAGATTGGAGGCCTGTGACCTGTTGTAAGGTTCAGTGCTGGCTGTACTGTTGTTAGTCACTTATATAAACAACTTGAATGAGAATTTAGGAGGCATGCTAAGTAAGTTTGCATTGACATGAATATTGATGGCATTGTGCATAGTGAAGAAAGTTATCTAAGGGTATAACAGGATCTTGCTGGACTGGGCCAGTGGGCCAAAGAATGGCTGATGGTGTTTAATGCAGCTGAACGTGAGGTGTTGTACTTTGGTAATACAAACCAGGGCAGGACTTGCACAGTTACTGGTAGAGCCCTGGGGAGTGTCGTCAAATGGAGAGATGTGGGAGTACAGGTGCATAGTTCCTTGAAAGTGGTGTCACAGACACAGTGGTGAAGAAGGCATTTGGCACACTTGCCCCCACTGGTCAGAGCATTGAGTATAGGAGTTGAGAGGGCATGTTACGGCTGTACGAGACATTGGTATGGCCACGTTTGGAGTACTGCTTACAATCCTGAGTGCCCTGCTGTGGGAAGGATGTTATTAAACTGGAAAGGATGCAAAAATGACTTACAAGGATGTTACTGAGACTGGAAGGTTTGTGTTACAAGGAGTGGTTGGATAGGCTGGGACTTTTTTCCCCCTGGAATTTAGGAGGCTGAGAGGTGACTTTATAGAAGTTTATAAAATCATGAGGGGCATAAATAAGGTGACTAGCCAAGGACTTTTCCCCAGGGTAGGGGAGTTCAAACCTAGAGGGCATAGGTTTAAGGGGAGCAGGAGAAATTTAAAAAGGACCTTATGGGCAACTTTATCACTCATTGGCCGGTATATGTAACATGCTGCTAGAGGAAGTGATAGAGGTGGGTACAGTTACAACATTTAAAGGACATTTAGACAGATACATGGATAAGAAATGCTCACAGGGATATGGCCAAACGTAGGAAAATGGAACTAGTTCAGTTTAGGAAACCTGGTTGGCATAGACAAGTTGGGCCATAGGTCCTGTTTCCATGCTGTATGCCTCTGACTCTGTGGCTTGTCAGCTGGAATATACCATAGATTTCCAGCACAGCACCCTCTGCAGGATATTTGGTGGCTGTGAGCAAAACACAAAACAGGCGGATACCTCAACCAATCAAATTGAAGAATTCTCACTGTTACACACAAACTAAACGAGGAAATATAAAGCAAGGAATGTAAATTAATTTAAAATACATAGCAGCAAAATAACAATTCTCTGTGGGAAAGAGACCAAGAAAAAACTTAAGGTATTTTCCTATATTAAAAACTCCCAAAACTAACTTTGTAGTGACAGAATAAAATGCCACATTTTTGTTTCCACACCAGTATTCTTATTATAAATTCTGAATCATTATGGGGTGTGAAAAAATGATAAAGATGTTTTTGAATGTTCTCTTCAATTCACTCTTCTGAAAGACAGAGATATGTATTAAACATTAAACATAACACAGGAATGAATCATCATATTGACTGATTAATAGAAATTTTAAATAAGCCATGTCAGGAAAAGTCCAGCTTTCCTATATCTTCAGATTCCATTGACATGATGCTCCCTAATTTATTTTTGTCAAGATTATATTTGGCTTGTATATACGTATGATTAGAGATGTAGGTCAGTTCCTGTTTTAAAATTGAATTTTTGTTAGTGAGTTCTATCTTAAGTTAGATTTAATGTAATTGTTTTTGACCCATCAATTCTCATGGGAGAAGATGAAACAACTGATATATAAAAGACTAATTGGATTTGCTTAAATAATTAGATGAATAGACATGGTCTCCACAGGCTAGTGCATCTCAAATCTACATCTGTCAAATGATCATAATACCCATATGCTGTATTACTAAGTGTTGTAGCCACTGCCTGGTTATTGAAGTAGATAATGTGGGACCATTTTAGAACTGAACCGTAAAGACCATGTAGGTCCCAAGTATGACATGCTAGGCAATAAACTAGCTCATCTTAATTGCTGTAGCAATATGTTTTGTCAATTACCTTGGGATGGAGAAAGCAAAATAAGCCAGGATTTCATTTATGAATACAGAAATTAATTATTGCTGTTACATTTAACCGCAGGATCTATATGGTAACATGCACAAATTCAAGAAAATCCTGGTAGCTTATTAATTAGTTTATTAATTTATTTAAATCTAAACCATTGTTCATTTCCAGAGAAAATCTAATGGATTTCAGTGAAGTGCAGCAATTGGTTACCATCATACTTTGCTGCTGGAACACAAAAGACACTGAACCAATTGCAGCCTCAGTGGAACATCGGCCTGATTTGAAGAAGTCACCCGATATCAGTCTTGAAAGCACATTCGCTTTGTGAAAGCAGCAATGGAGAAGTCTTACTACCGCATAAATGTTCAATACAAAATAACTGTGCCTAAATTTATGTCTGTCGTTAAGTATAGCCATTTATATGCTTTACATATTTATTTGTGTTACTTTGTAATTTCATAACAAAATAGTAGTTACATCCCAACAACTGTTGCTATTTTATGATGCATTGAGGAGAATTCAGCATGCTGAAAGTGAAGTTAGAATTTGATTGAAATCAACAGAATATTGAGATTCTAATTAAGCAAGGCTTTGCTGATGTTCTCTGACGAAAGATGTGATCTGTGGATTGTAGCAGAATACGCACCACCTATTGCTGTGGATTCAGATCTGCATTTATAGACTAAGTATGCATGGAACTTTTTCCCTGGACCCATTAAGTTGTTTTGATAAGATGACATTACAGAACATCCACATAAAACTGAAAATGATTTTGAAACTGAATTAGTCTAATACTTATTTTGTTTTCTGTTATGCAGTGTTGGATTCATAAACACATATACAAAGGGTGACCTCAGGTCAAGTACAAATTTTGAAGGGAGATTTTTTTATTCTTAATGGAAGTTGGATGTACAAATTATAGTGGAGTACAACAGCATACGTTGATTTCTGTGCGTGTGGTTTTCTTTCCTGTTGAAGAAAGAGACAGAATGCAGCCAGCTATGTAACATGCTACAGAAAAGCTGGTTGCTTGCTGTACATTTGTGACTTTTTGTGTAAGCTAAAAAGATGTAAGGTGGTGAAGATATAGATGGCAGGACAACTGTGATGTAGTGCATGGTCATACTTAGACATGAGCTGATTCCAAGGCCAAATCAATATATGTTTTGTATATGAGTAATAAGCATAGCCTCATATGGGAAAAGTTAGAGAAGCTTGTATTCCAGTACAGTATTTTTGTCCCTGTGGGACTATTGTCTGATCAACAGACTGCAGTTTCAGATTTTGGAAGTGTTGACTTTGCCTCTGCAGGCTTGATCATGTTATTGCATCCCCGAATTCTAAACAGAGCCCAGGTAGGAGTAATAAACACATACAGCTTCATCATGGGCAGCATTTGTGTTTATTACTCAAAAAGAATGTACTTGAAGTTTCAAATGATCCCTGCAGCCTTTCTTGTTAATTAGGTTTTATAAATGCCTTCCTTATTATCATACTGATTAGCCAGTTGTCAGATTTATTCATAAGGTGCTAAAATTTTCAGAGAATATGACTCAGTTTGGAGTTTTGGAAGTTATTGTTTGGTTTTGAACTCATTAGAAATATGATTTGTTTAATTTCCCTGCAATGCAGATGCTGTAAAGAGAAAATTCCCAGATTGGTGTCATGAGTAAGTAGTATGTTGAGTCTGTATCTCAAATCACCAGGCTTTGGGTGGAATGAGTTGAGGGGTTAGCACAAAGGGCTAATTAAATTGCTTGAAACATAAAAGCTTGAAGAGTTAAAAAAAAAAATTGTTCTTGTTTTGGGCCTGAACTTCTGATTTAGCCATATAATCATCTATTTGATTCTATTTAACTAAAAATATCCAAAGTAATTTGTTGATTCAGTTGAAAGAAAAGCAGCTGAGTGTTACAAGTGGCCATGTGCCCTCCAATCATGTTCTCCTATATTTAACTCCAGGCAGGATTTGAATTCTGTATGTTTGTATTTTTTTTTGATTAGTTTTGTTTTGCTATGCAAATCTATTTTGTTTATTCAAATAGTCACTTAACTGCATTTCAGTTAGTTAGATTTACACTTAAATCCTTTTTTTGTATTTGGTTGTAAATAGCTTTAATGTACATTGAATTTTGCATTGTAAGATTTTATTTTATTTCTTGTATTATATTGAGCAAAAATTCCTGTGTATAGTAAAGTGCTTAATAAATATATTTGCTTTTCAGCAGATTGACTTTGATTTAACAACAATGTTATTGTCGACTAAACAGTTTGTGGATTTGTTTCAGAGAAGAATGAAGTGAAAAAACTTGTTGGACAACATACTATAAGGATCATTAATTGTTTGATTTGAAGAGCGACCCCAGACCTTCTAAAAATCAAACTATTAAATTATGATTTTCCAAACTTCCTTCTGATGCATATTAGGCACAATGACTGAAGCAGTGTGAGGAAGCTTGATTTAATATATAGTTGATTCAGAATGTTCTGTATTAATATCATGTATTCCTTATTAATACCATCCCTGTTAATATATTTCTCTCTAATAGCAAGCCTCCATTTCTCCCAATAACTACTTTATAACAAGGACGAAAAGTTTTGTAGTTGCTAATCATTGGGAGTTATAAAATCTCATACTGCACGCATGATATTGCTCCTCATAAGTCTGTTGCTTACATGGGAGATGAAGAAGATTTTCACAGGATTCCTGTAATCTTCAGTTCAGAAACAGCAGTTTGATTAAAAGAGACAACAA